GATCCTCTCGACCGGATACTGAGGATTATTACCCCCTACTACCACCACATAACACATATCACATAATCTACCCAACATGGTTCGGCATGACTGCCCCTTCGGCCCAATCGACCGGTAATTTGGGGACTATCTCCCCTACTGTCACTAGCACATAGCATCATATCATACTAGTATATAAACATAGCACAGATAGTAGCAACCCTAGATGAATACCACAGAGACAATCATCTAACATACAACTCCTACTGGTGGGCCGACATTCTGGTCGTAGACCCACCGCTACTGGAAGGTAACTCACCTCGTAGTAGTTGCTGATCTGTGTGGGAATTGTCTATCTGCTGTTGCGGCGGCTCCGGAAATCCTCCGGCTGTAATTTCCCACAAAATACTCAATCAAACACTGCTAACTGCCCTTGGTGTAAAATGACCATTTTACCCCTAACCAAGTCAAAGTCAAAGTCAACTACCTGACTCGCCGAGTTGGCTCGCCGAGTCCCTATCCTTCCCATTTGTCCTCATACCCAACTCTACACATCGAGTTAGGCGATGACTCGACGATTTATCCTTCTAAACTGATGACCAATGATCCTTCAACCAACTCGTCGAGTTCGTCTTCATCCGAAGAACACTCTAGCATGTGACTCGCCGAGTTACATGAACAACTCGTTGAGTCTGTTCTTAAGGTAAGAATATTGCCTTGGACTCGCCGAGTCAGGGCATTGACTCACCGAGTCCCTCCATAGATGAGTCTGGCTTCCAACTCACTGAGTCCACCCATGACTCACAACTCCACTCAGCAAACACGAAAATGGGGGAAAACTCGGGGACTCGCCGAGTCCGATGAACGACTCGTCGAGTCATTCACGTGCAATTACTATATATTCAATTTTTCTTGAATCCAGCTCATGCCATACATAGATCTGAGTTCTTAGGGTAGGTTTTACACGTAAAGTTTCCAACTATACGTGTATACATGCATAGAATGGGGATTTAAGGCCAAATAAGGGCTAAAATGGTAGATCTAGAACATTCAACAAATATGCTCCCATAAAGGCCCTGGATCCGAGCTTCTGGAGCTCAAACATGCCTAGATCTAGAGGTTACACAACTCATTACAAACCCTAATCCATACCCAAGCTTTGAAATGGTTCAAGAAGGACCTTAATGGTGCCCTAAGGGACTTTAAGGATAAAAACAGAAGGAACTGAGTTATAGCTCAATGAATCACTAAAATATCACCAGGATATTCGACCTCCTTCTTCTCCTCTTGATCTACTCTTCTTCTTCTCTCAAAATCTTCAAGAAATCACACTAAAACACTTCAATCTCACAAGAAAAAGGGGTTAGGACGATATAGGGAGCTCTGAGGGTGAAGGAGTCGGGCTTGGGGCGCATAAGGTTGGTTTAAATAGGGTGCAAACCCTTGAAATTAGGGTTTCATCCAGACAACGGGGACTCGCCGAGTCCAGAATGTGGACTCTCCGAGTCGCCAACTAAAACGTGCTCAGAGTCTCGTCACTACTCGGTGAGTCGGGCCTATAACTCGCCGAGTCCAAGGATAAAAATTTAAATCACTTAGATAGATTATACGTACCAGGAACCAGGTGCTACAACAGCATGACCAATTCTATTAGCCAAATATCGTTTAAATCATGTAGCATGTGACTTAGCGTTTTCACTCAACAGCTAGTTCACACGCGAAAGAGTCAAGAAAAAATTGGTCATGGATTCTATAAGCAATAAGGCATCATATATCAGGTAATTCTATCATACAATTCCTGAAGATCCCTATCCTAATACTTACATGTTGTTTTAACATATCAAAGCAAAATCTCAAATAAATGTGTTGTAATTTAGGGTCTACTTACTGGCTTTGGTTGATCGTACACATCGCATCCTCCTTGATTATTTTGATAACTATTGAAAAAAAATCTTTTTCCTTAATTCGAGACTGGATTCACATGAGTGTTCCACTAATTCACTCAAACCAAGGCTTTGATGCAACTTGTAACATCAATAAAATTCAAGAAAATTTTAAACTTTTGAAACCAATCCATAAGTCATTATTGTTTAAAAAATAGTTTTCAAAACATGTTTAGTATTAGAGTTTTCCCTAAATCATAAAACAAAACATGAGGAGGTGTACGATCACGCCTCTGTTTTCCCACGATCATCTGACGTAACTGAAACATAACCCAAAACTGTAAGCTCAAAGCTTAGTGAGTTCTCCTAAAGTACCAACACTCAAAAAATAATGTATATACAATAATATGCAATGGGTCCAGAGCTAACAGACTGGATTACCCCTGAACCCATGATATAAGTGTGGCTTGCCCTACACCCATAACTTATGTCTAGCTTGCTCCCCGACCAGATGAGTCCTCAGATTGACTACCATTAAGTCCTCAGTACGAGTCTAGTATGCTTTTCTTGGCCCTCAACTTGTATCTGGAATGCTCATGAGCCCTCGGTATGAGTCTGGCATGCCTTCCCCGACCCTCAGCTCATATATGGATTGCTCCAAAGTTTGTTAGCTACCACACAGAGCAAAAACAACCTCAAACCAACCCACACAATATGTCGACATATTATAGATAATAACATACACAGATAATCAAACAGTATCACAGGTAGTCCTACAGATCTACCAAACTAGCATATCAAGACTAGCATGCATATATATTCCATACTCAGCATATCAATGAAAATCAGGTTATCAAACCAATGGGTCGGCGTTAATGCTTTCGACCCGTAAGTACAGTGAGGAAAACTCACCTTACGGACTAATTCCATCAGGTGACCAATTCCATCAAGATCCCAAAATACCCAAAATAACTTCAAGGTCCAACTTGGTCAATGTCAACGATCAAGGTCAATAGTCCATCTATACCGAACATGTCATGTTCCTCTTGGCCATGCCATGTTCCTTAAGCATCCAAACACTTGGGAAAACCTCATCTATCGCGACGTGTTGACTTGCAAACATGTCGTGTTCGCCTAAGTTCCAACAACTTAATACATTCAGCTTCCTTTTCGACTCCAAGAGCTCCAAAGCTCAGATCTAGACCAAAATGTGATTAGGAAGAATAAAGTTTCCTACTTTATCCATTGCGACTACAAAAAAGGTCCAAAACTCCAAATTATAAGCTTGATAATGTAAGGGCTCAACCAAAATACACTTAATCCTTAAAATCTAAAGTCCATCCTTTCCAGAAGTGATTCTAACACCTAAACCATCCCAAAGGTTGGTATTTTTTTTAATCATACATGTCCAATGCCTATCTTGAACCCATATTAGGTCAAAACGAGGATTTATGCCCTAATCTCAATGCATGGAATCAAAACTTGATCATAGACCAGATCCAAGACACTACTAGGTTACCTTGACCTGGAGATTCATAAAGTTGCAAACTTTATGAGATCTAACCCTTGCAACATTCAAGAACAAGGAGCAAAAGGGACAAAACTCAAGATCTGACAACTTTAAATGATAAAAATTGGGCCTTGGACAGTAACAAAGGTCTAGAAGAGTACCAAATTGAAGAATGTGGCTTGCTTTGTGGATCTTTGCTTCCTTCTTCCACCTTTTTCCTTCTTTAGACTCAAAAAACCAAACTAGCTTCACAAATGGGAGAGAAAATGATTAGGGTTTCTTTCAGTTCTTGAGGGGCTGATAGGGGGCTAAGGGTGAACAAACCCTAGCCTACACATTCCTTTAAATAAAGAGAAAACTCAGAAGATTATGTTTCATTCTCCATTTAACAACCTTTGAGGTGCCTTCTGCCCCTTTTGGTAACGCAAATGGAGAAGGAGGTAACGAAACCAATGCAAGAACATGTTGCAAAAGAAGTTCAAAAGGAGGTTGTTCCTTCAAAGACGGGTATGTTGAAACGCACCAAGAATCCTGATCATCGTGCTCGACACTCTCCTGAACCTCCAACTGTTGAAGAAGTTTCCGTTGAACCATTTTCTTCACCAAAAGAAGGATTTGTTTCAAAGATCAGGAAAATTCGCAAAGCCCATCTTAATCGAAGGGGTGTATGAATTCATGATGTTACAGTTCCTATTTCACCAACATCAAAGAAATGTAAAGCTCAATACATTGTTAAAAAGACAAAAAGAAGAAGAATGTTTTGGTTGATCCTCTTGATGAGGGTATTGTTGAAACTGATATCGAAAGTGGAAGTGAAAGATCTCCAATTCGACATGATATTGGGTTAGGCTTCGAGACACCTCAAAGAGACTCTTCGGTTAAGTCGACCATCAAGGAGAATAGAAGTATTGGTGGCACTATAAACGTATCTCATACGGATACAACCACTAATTTGGGTAAATCTTCAACTTTTACCATCCCTACAAAGACAATTTTCATACCACCCGAGGTTTCGATGACTGGTCTATTTCAGAGGAGGTTTGAACATCAAGCATCACTGTGAACATATCTAATATGGACACAAATGTCAACATGGTTGAAAGGATGAAGCAAAGCGAAGCTCCAGGTATATTTTATGTTGAAACCTCTTATATTCCTACCTTACTCATTCTACCTTCTACTATCGAACCTACCCTTAACGACACTTCAACTTCTTTACCACCTTTCTCTTTTCCTATTCCATCTTCATTACCTGTTTCTACTATTTCATCCACTTTCTCAAATATCATGCATCAACCCATTACATCATTTTTCTCTTCCCAATCCACTGAAGGGGAAAAGTCAGTTCCAGAAGATGATCAAGATGATGATGATGTGATGGTATCATTTGTAGAAATTCAGTTAACTCCCGGAAGAAGATAACATTCCTGATCACATGCTTATGTCAGGGAAGCAGTTTAAAATTCTTAATCATAAACTGAATTCGTTGTTACAAATCCAGGTAGATACAGGGGGTCGAAATTCAGTGTCTAGGATTGAGGGGGATGTGATGCTTAAATCACAAGAAAATCATTTGAAGCTGGCTATGGAACAGATTGAGAAAAAACATGAAGAACGGTTAAAGATTCATGTCGAAAATTTGTAGTATGAGGTTACCAAGCTTTGATGTTGCCAAAGAATGTCATCTTCTTTTTGTTGAGGAAGTTAAAAATGTGGAGGAATCTGTCAAACTCAAAATGGATGAACTTAAGCCCAAGATATCGAAAGAGGTGGTAAAGATAGAACAAAACTATACGAGTCTTCATAACAAGGTGGATGTTCTTGCTGATGTAATCAAGAAGCTTGTGGAGTATAATACTTTTTTCTCCACCAAACATGAATCCAAGAAAGAAACAGATTCGAAAGTGTTTGAAAAGATGGAGGAGTTTTGGGAAGTCTAAAAGAATCCTTGTAGAAGCTTGATTTGTCTCAACAATTTGCAATATTTCAAGATTCGATTTCGAAGATGATTTTTTCTCTTGAATCGAACCTCAAAGCAGAACTTTCTCCTCTTCTCTAGTTAGTACATTTAATGCCAATGAATGCCCCACCTATAAAACAAGTGGTGCAAAGAGGAGATAACAAGGTTGGCACTTCGAAGGATCCTAATCAAGGAAAAGTTGTAGGGAAGGTGATGACGATGCAGATTCCAACATCACTTCCTGTTTCTCTAATAACAACTTATACTACAATTACCTTGAGACCAATAACAAAAGGCATCGTCATTGGACAAGGTGCTGAGAGATCGAGTTCAAGTTCGAAACCACCTCCCGCATAAGATGATAAAGTAAAAAAAGGGAAAGGTATTAAGATGAATCCTTCTAAAGAAGAAAAGAAGAAGGGTATGGAAAACGAAATTAAGAGGCAAAGCCAAATAAACAACATGTTGAGGAACACGCAAAGTGATCCACCTAGATTAAACAACGGTGATCCAAGTAAACATTGGTGTTACGAATCCATCAAGCAATTAGTCTTTTCAGGAAAGATGCATGACTTTGGGAAATTTCCAAAGAATAGCTACGAGATCTAAAATACTGTTTTTAATCAGCTTGATTTTCTGATTAATCATATGATGATCATCTCTGCTCAGTATCAGTTGATTGATAAGTTCGAAGATAAAGGTGAGTATAAGATATTGAAGTTAAGATTTTATGTTGTTCTGGGAAAGAAGGAAGAGGATGTGTGGTGGTTGGTTAAAATTGTCAAGGTGTTAAACATTTCCAAAGAAAGTTTATTCGCGGGTATGTTGTAGAATTTTCGATATATATGTGGTAAGAGCAAACTATGTGGCTTTTGACTTCTTGGTGGCATACTTTCATCTTATAAATCTAAATGATTTCATCAATATGGTGAAGATATTAAGCATTGTTGATGTGTCAAAACTTCAAGTTAACAACAAAGATGATTTCTTGATTGGTTTTGCTCAAATCAAAATTTTCATAGATAATTACTATGATTGCTTAGCTATGATGAATATCAAGCTTGCTTTGGCAGTGAATAAAATCTCAAAGGTGCCTCAATCGATTTTGAAAGGGCAAGGTAGTCTTAAGGACTATAAGGATGTAGAGATTGTTCACAAGCCTTTGGGTGTTCTTTTTTTTTTTTTGGAAAGAACACGCAAAATAAGATAACAAAATTTTTGTTCCAAGTTTGTGAAGTGGAGAGGTATACGGACTCTCAATATACAAGTCTTCTAGTTCGTCTTAACAACTGTAAGATGAATTTTGCAGAAGATAAAGTTGAAATCCAAAAGATGATCATCTGGTATACAGAGGTTTGCCGAGTACTCCACCAGGACATGAAGATGATGATGACATAGATTCGACACTTCTCACTAAGGAGGAGATTGTAGAGTTCGAAGTATGTAGTGATGTGTTGAAGTACAGGTAGGCCTAGTTAGATTTGAAGTTTGTATGTTGTATTTCAAATGTATGTATTACATAACGCATTGTTAGAGGTCAAAGCTCTCATGTCTAGTCCTTATGTATTTTTATATGCATCTGTTGTTCCCTATAAAAAGGGGTAAGTATAGGAGTCGAGGGTAACTTTTGTAAACTTGTGTCAGCTTGAGCACTTTACTCTTTTTATACTTCTATATTCCATTTATATCTTTGTTCTTATCGCATTCTGTTCTTGGTTTTGTTCTTAATACTTGATTCAAACGAAATACACCTAACATTTTATAACCTCAACATTCATTCTCAATGTTTAATAGTAAGATTTTCTCACCAATCTTACCCACGAGTTAGTAACAGCACCACATGATGAATGCTCGTAACACATACTCAGGTCTAACAAATCTCAGTTGTTATGACATAATTTAATCATACAATAGCATCATAAAAGACACATACTGGAGTCCCATGACTCAACCTCTTATCTCTCATACAACTTTATGTCTTCTCCATTGCAATTTACCTAGAACGCTCCCAAACTAGCATCTCCGATCATGTGTGCCAAAAATCTCTCAAATGACACAAAACACGTACACACACACACACACACACACACACATATATATATATATATAAGAGACGTGCCACGTTGCGTCGGTATGCACATCGTGCCATGGTTTCAATGTGTTCCCCAATTTTGCCACTTGTCCTTCTCGATCGACACATGTTTGCCACTTGGCCTTTTAAATGAGTGCCTCGAGCTTTTGCGATTTTGTAACAGCCCAAATTTGCAATACAAAATTTCATTTTTGTATAACAAAATCATTTCCATAAATTGTAAATCCCAATCATAATCTTTTTCAAAATCCATAACATCAGATAAATTATTTATAAAATCAGAGTGTCCCAAATAAAACGCCAGAGAGTGTATGACGCGCCATCACGCTGGGCTCTTACCCTTAGATCCTGAAGTACCTAAAACAAACAACAAACTGTAAGCTAATGCTTAGTGAATTCCCCAGAGCATACCCCACATAATCCACATAATCACATAAACCATATCAAACACACAAGTCATACATATAAAAATATAAGGATGCCCTGGACACCCTCCATGGTCTTACTCCAGGATGTCATGTGCACCCTACATGGTGTTACACCTATATGCCATGGGCACCCCCACATGGCCTTCCAAACAAGTGTCATGGGCACCCCCATGGTCTTTACCTAGAATCCCATGGGGACCCCCATATGGTCTTACAACCAAGTGACATGGACACCCCCCATGGTCTTTCCTTCAAATATCATAGAAGCAACTAACATATCACATAGCATATAACCCACTAGTATACCACACATTACTACATCAACTAGTGTACTACATATCACAAAATGGGCCGGATTTGGTGCCTTTAACCCATTGGTATGGTGAGGAGACTCACCTTAGTCTGTTGAACCCGAAAATTGCTCGCTTAACAATCTGAAGCCACCTGTGCTGAACAATAATGCCATTAACCCAAAATTAGGATCAAATACAATCTGATTAAAGAGCCTGATTACCTAAGCCCAAGTCCTTCCATAATAGCCCAAAAGTCTTTCCTTTGCGAATAGGCTCAAATTCCAAGTCTAAAGTTATTAATGGGCCACATGGCCCAATAAGGCCCAACCAAAATAACCATGGCCCAAAAAAGATAAATTGGACCACCAACCCAAACCATGACCAAGCCCCAAAACTGATTAAGGCCCAAAGGGCTTACAATCCCAAAACAAGCCAAAACCCATCTTAGTGTGTACGCCTTGTGTACCACTCCGGTAAGCTCAACATACTAACTCCTTCAGCCGTACGTGTTGCGTACAAGCTTCTACGTGCGATGTACTAGTCAGGCAAACGTAAATGACCATTCAGCTCTTAATGCTTGGGATATTAACATTAAGCTTTAGGTCTAAGTCCATTAAGACATTTTAAGGCATAAAGTTGTCAACTTTATGCCCTTGCATGCTCCATATGTTCCCAACAATCCCTTTTAACCCATTAAGAGCTTTCCAAGGATCTTAACTAATGCATGAGGTCAAAACACCAATCAAGACTGCATTTTTATGATATGAATAAACTAAGGGACCTCAAATCTACTCTTCCAAAGCTTTAGAGTTTCTCAAACTCTCAAGAGATGATCCATGAACACAAATGGGACAATAAAGCAAGCTTGCTCACTAATGAATAAAATGGCAAGGTTAAAACTTTATACCTACAGAAGCTCCTCAAGGTGAACTAGATGCAGGATCTTGAAGCTCAATACCACACCAAGCTTGCTCACTAACTTCTTCTTCTTGAATACACTCTAAAATGGCCAGAAATACACTCTTTAAGCCCAAGAACACTCTCACAAGGAAAATCTAGGGTAGAAGGGTGAAATGAGGCTATGGAGGTTGATTAGGGTTTACTCCAAGAGGCTTAAGGATGTTTAAATAGGTGTCAAGTCCGAGAATTAGGGTTTTATCCTTATGTCGCGTACGCCCAGTGTGCGCTGCTACCCTCCACGATCATTTATCCTTAGAACGCTAAGTGTACTCGTGGAGTACGCCCCACGTACTAAGGGACCATTATGATATGTTTTTCATTTTAAGGGTTCGAATGGTAATTACCTGATTTGGAGCGTTACAGATTTCCTGATTTTTTTTCTTGAATAGCAGTGCATTTTTTAAACGACCATGACTTTCCCGTTCGAACTATGCTTTCGACGATCTTTATATCTACAAAATCGTCTTTGGAAGATCTACAACTTTCCTCAATTGTTTTTTGATAATAGAAAAATACATACTCATCTCATAAATATCCAAATCTCTTAATATAATATATGTTACGAAAAAAACAGGTATTACAATTTAACTCTAGAATTATATATTGGTTTCAAAATCATTAAACTCAAACTGCTATAGTAACATTTATCATCGATCTAAGGTTTTAAATTTCCAATTTCACTATTAGGGATGAAATCAACAATTTCAAAGTGAAATGGTTATATACTTACTATATACAACAAGTTGATAGCATGAAAAATCCACAAATTCTAGAATAATCTATGATTTCTGATTTATAATAGTAGTTAGGGTTTGGAAACCTAAAACTTTATAAAATGGTGAATTAGTATCATAGATATGGATTTTGATGGTAGAATCCACCATTAGGAACGAAATGAAATCCAAGTTTCACAAAATTGATGATTTTAGTCCTTCTTTCTTAAATTTCCACAAATGACATTTACTAAGCTTTGTAACATGGGATTTTAACTTAAAACATCTCAATATAAAGTTATTACTAATTTAATTCGAACCACTAATTAAATGATAAGTCAAACCTATGTTTTAAGGGTTTGACAAGTTTAGTTTCTCATTCTATAAATTTAGAAAATGACATCTACCAACATCCTCACCTTAAAGTCTTTTATTTTGCTTCTAGTGATAACTTCTTTTATTTATTTTACTTTTACTTTATTAATTTGGATGTA